GTTAATCCAGCGACAGTTCCAAGGGTAAATACGAAGTTTTAGAAGGATACTTAGTTCTAACACGGAATTAGATTAGATATTTTTATCTAAGTCCGTGGTTCTAACTAAGAATAAGATTATGTCCAATGACTTGTGAGTGAACTTGAGTCCGTGGTAATGGATTTTATTTGCAGTTTGTTTAGTATTACTGGTAGGTGACGTTATGTCTCGTTTTGAATATCTGAGCTCATTAACTGAAGTATTTTACCGGAAGTTGCGTGTATAGCATGCATGACCTACAGTCAAGTGGCAGTTCCCGATTGAGATAAACAGGGTGCATTTTCAATAAGAATACGACGTTGTAATAAGATCATATGATCTACCAAGGAAAGGAATGATAGTTACAAGCCATTCAAGTGCATTTGAGTCCAAAGTTACGCATAATAAAGACAGTAGGTCCGGTATATATGATTCAATTTAGTACCAGTGGGTACCGCTAGAGGCGTCTGTGTGAAAACGACATTTTTGAATATCTTGAGCTCATTAACTGAAGTAATACCAATAGCTTGCGGCTAACGCCTTAGCTAATAAAAACTTAACACATAATTATCTAGGAGTGATGAATGGAAATTGATCACATGCCTATGCAATCTTACGATAGTAATACATCATTTTGTCAGATGTGCTTCCTGTCTGCTTGTATCACACATGTGCGATACAAGATCCTGTATCACCACATGCACAGTAGCCGGAACTACCTTTTAGGGGAATTCCCTGGTATATTTTCCGGAGCAACTATCACAGGTGGAACATTCAACATAAACTTCCAAATATCGTCACAGTCGCGTACAACATCACATTCATCACCTCCAACGAAATACCGACGAATACTGCCAATTGTTGACTCAGATAATGAAGATTTTATCTAGATTTCTTGTGTTTTCTGACCTTGGCGCGTGACGTCACTCAGACTCAGCGCGTGCTGTGACGTTGCGAGACTTTGGGAGAATTTGTAATGACCGACATTTAAACTTTCATGAATACACGTAACTTTATGCCATTAAATGTGTTGCATTTGAATTATTCTTTGTTATTTTGTATTTAACCATTAATATTTAAAATGTTGTACACCCAAAGGTACAGTTCAGTCACAAAAAGTCTCTTATCATTCACAGGTCCTGTGAACCATGCAATGACTTTTTTTTAAAGCCATGCAATGATTCTTTTTTTAAGAATTTGTTTTCTATATCTCAGAATTATCAAAAAAATACATTAATTATACAAAGAATGTGTTAAATAAAAATAAAAGAAAAACGTTATCATAAAAAAAAATCAAGAGAATGCCATTTTTTTTTAATAAAACACAAGTTTCTTATAAAAAAAAATCCTGGCATTGCGTCGACCTGTGTGCCGATGGAAAACGACAAAAAGAGGAAAAACATAAAATGTGCATTTAGTCATATCAGATAAAAAATCCTTATTACCAAGGCTACAATAGGGTTAAGTCATGTGATAATTGCAAAACCACACATATGTGTGGTTTTGCCTATTTACGACGTATTCTTCAATGAGACAAATAAACCTGATGGATGTCTTACAAGCTTCTAAATTTCATGACATTTTACTCCTATTATACATATACGCTTAGCATACGTTCTCCTAGTTATTGGATTTCGACCGTGAAATCCTGGTAATTGTTTGATATCCTGAGTGAACGTACACCAAAGATACTAATACAATTTTGAGTTCAATGTTGAAATTTTGTCGTGGTTCATTAAGAAACGTGTCTGAGTGTCTGTCCTACAGGGTCCGTTGCGTGGCAGGGACTGGTGCCCCTGTCCTGGGAGGATATGCTGGGTTTTTACGTACCGTGCGCTTGTGACATCCCCCTTTGGATCCGCCTCTGTTTGTAGAATGCCATTTCGATTTACCTTATACCGGCCGCTGTACGTGATCCGTCGAATCGAACTGACTTTTTGTTTCGCACTTATTCTCCCTGCGGTGGCGATGCAGAAATTAGCGACGAGGGACGAGGCCATTGAACTTTGCTACCACCGGCGTACAAATATATTAATTGTAAAGACTTTTATCACGCTGAATCCTACTTTCGATTTCAATTCTCCGAAAAATGAACTTATCTAAACACTACACATCCTGTATTTTTTCTAATCATTCTCTTGGATATATTTTCCTCCAATCAAAACACTCACGCTTACAAATGTACGGGAAAATATCTTCCTAATGATAATATGCGTTCTTTTCGCTTTTTTTTCATGCAAGTAATTATTTGTTTATCACTTCCTTTGTAATTTATATTACAGGGCCGTTGTTTGTGAAAACGCCTAGGTACTCAATTTCAGAATCTGTGTTCATGGCCAATTTTTTGTCCTCTTTACGGAATTTCTCAATTATTTGGAGGAACATTGGAGCCATCTCAAACCAAATGCCATTTCCAGTGTCAAAATATAATTATCTGACGGCGTTGTATTATTACAGCGAGTCACAAGAAAGTTTGTATGAACTTAAACCCCATGTTTGAGCATGAGAATGGTTTCATGAGTATGGACCCGGCCATCCTTTTTAGCAATTCCGAACATAGTTTTCGCCTAGTGACTGATTGGTGACCGCCATTCACGTCACATTTGGTGGCAGCGGATGGTCCTGGTATCGTGTAAAGCCAGTTCATTGCAGGTAGGACCCAAGGGATTCCGAGCTAGATTGTCCAGTGCGGTATTACCCGGGAACGTGCACGTGCTTCGCTATCGAACAACGTTGAGCGTAGTCAGTGGCTGGATGGGTGACCGCAAGGACGTTTCAATGACACTTGAAGTGAGTTTCCGTCGAATTCACTTCAAATCTCAAGTTCTTAATTTATTGAAATAAACTTCTTTTCCGTGGAATTACATATTGATTTCAAATCACTACAACATACTACATCATAATATATTTACTTCGCGGGGCTGTGTTCTCATACATTGGATGTACCATTGGTTTTCAAGTTTTGGCTTGCAGTTACCTATACACGTTATAAGTATACCTCATCTATATTACAGCATATATGATTGGAGTTAGTTGATCACGTGACTGGGAAATAATTACTTTGTTTCCCTCTCGCGCTCAAGTTTCCACGATGTGATTTCGCTCATTTGGGGTCTCGCCCGCCAGAAAAACAAGTATAATGTATCACCCCGGAGTTCCGAGCGACTAAACCAGAGGACAACAATGGCGCACAAGTCTAATATGTTAGTGCAAACAAGTCAAAATATTTTGGGCGGAAAACGGTAAACGTCCATTTCCGGTTTCATCGATTACATACACAAAACAAGTGTTCCTGGTTAATATACGTGTTTTACAATATTAATCTTGACAAATATCAGCAGCTTGCGTTGGTATTTGTATTCAATCTATCAAAGTGACCATGAACCACATTTTTAATTACCGTATACCAAAACACAAAACAGAACTTTTCAAGCGGTCATTTTTATATCAAGGACCACATCTTTTGAACAGCCTATCCACTCAAACCAGTATTGCAGTATTTAAAACCAACTGCATAAACGATTTTAAACTACTACATGTAGTTTAAAGCCGAAAAAACATCCTCTCTTTCGGCCTGATCTGGACATTACGACTTTCCCAATAAGCAATATACTACGATATGTAATTATGTTTCAGCAGCGTGTGTTACTATAACAGTATGGTTGACATATGTGTTGTAATGAAATGTAGTTATATAATTAATTACTCAATTGAAAAGCAGTATAGCTTTATATATGTATACGAAACTGGTTTATAATGTATGCGTTTTGCATTATCTCTTAAATTTGTAACGTATTATCCATGTTGTACATGTACATACTTGTATATATGATCTCGGCCATGTGTGAGAAGAGTCTGTGACTCAACATGTTTTTATCCAGTATAAATAAAGTCTATTATTATTATTATTATTATTACAAGCTAACCGGTAATAAGATTTATATATTTTTTTAAATACCGCCGTGACTATTATCCATAATTATGTTTATTGAAGATTTAAAAGAAACTGGTTAGGTATACATGTAGCAAACACTAGTGAAAGCAAGTTTTTTTTTATATAAAAGCACTGGATAAAGTCTTTAGTGTAATCAGCCCAACAAAACTCGAAATATAAGTAGTGCATTTTATAAACTGATTTTCTATTCATATGTATAGAAACAGTGATAGAGACCTAACCCTGGGCCTGGAAAGTTATCCCAAGCAGGCACTTTCTTTGAGGAAGCACTCTATAAAGTCAAGAGTGTAATCACCCCAAGAGAAATCAAGATATTGTGCATTAGTGCATTAAACAGGTTTTCTATTTATAGTGACCCATTGACCTTTGACCACTGGACCTGAAAAGTTATCCCAAGCAGGCACTTTCTTACAGGAAGGACTCAGTAGAATCTGAGTGTAATCAGTCCAACAGAATTCGAAATACAGTGCACAAACTGATGTTCTATTTATAGTGACCTTGACCTTTGATATCAAAGGCTGAAAAGCTATCCAAAAGCTAAAGAAAACATTTTATTACACTGGATAAAGTCCATGTATGCACACACACAAGGTTCTATACTTAAAGTTGATAAGTTGACTTTAATATTCATATGTTTTTTCTGTATGTTATTACCATCTCCATAACATATTGGATGAAGTTGCTAAGTGTTTAAATTGAATCAGTTGACGATTTTCTATATATAGCCTCAGTAACCTTGGCCTTGACCTTGGAACCCTGAAACACAACAATGTCCGAAGTATACTCATACTTGACCTTTGCATAAAGTTTGACCAAAATCCATGAAAGAATGAAGTTGCTAAGTATTTAAATTGAATCAGTGGATGATTTTCCATATAAAGCAAGTGTGACCTTGACCTTGGATCCCTGAAATACAATGATTTATGAAGTATACTCATACTTGACCTTTGTATAAAATTTGACCAAAAACTGTCAAAGAATGAAGTTTCTAAGTGTTTACATTGAATCGAGACGGGACACGATGATTTTCTATATATAGCAAATGTGACCTTGGCCTTGACCTTGGATCCCTGAAATACAAAGATGTCAGAAGTATACCTATACTTGACCTTTGTATAAAGTTTGACCAAAATCTGTCGATGAATGAAGTTGCTAAGTGTTTACATTGACTCGGGATGCGACGCGACTGGACGGGACGGGACGGGCGCACCAGGGCAAAAGCTCACTTGTCCTTAGCAGGTGTGCTAAAAACAGACAGAAGGACAGACAGACGTAAAATCTGATTACTAAAGATGTGCAGGGGGTCCTAACAACAAATTGTGTAACTGAATTGGAGAATCCCCCTGTGGGACCCCACTCCTCCCCCTAGGGAGCCAGAGTATTATGAGAGAGACCCTCTGTTAAACGGCATTCAGTCTTCTTAACCAAGTAATGCTCCAGACCATTGGTTTGAAAACATCATCAAGCCATACAGAAGGACTTCAAAGGATGTACTGTTTCAGGTGATTTATGTCCTCGCAACAGCCAGGGTCATATGAGGACGGGTGTCACCTATAGAAGAAAACTGCAATTCGAAGGAAGTGCATGTGTTGACGGAAAAAATACAGTTACTTATAAGAATTTC